ACTTGGCTTTCCACTGGGGCTTTGGTTTTGCGGATGTGGGAGAGCCCCAAGCTCCTTCAAATTCGTTTGAGAAAAACAAAAAAAATCAGCAAGAGTTTTGAGTCGGGAAAAAGAGTAATGCCAAGAAAAGCCGTCGTCGGTAGCTTGGTTTCCCCCAAGCAGCAGCTTGGAAGGGTCTGATCCGTGCCCGCAGAGCAGCGGCATGTGGAGTGGTATGGAAAAATCCCCTTCAGAGAGCCACAGCCGGTCCGTGCAGCTGCACTGGCATCGCTGGAGCCTCCCTGTGCTGCGGAGCCACGGGCCAGCCATGGCTGGCAAAGCGAGGACATCAAAGACACTCAAGGGGATATCGCTCGGGTGTGATGGGAAAAGCCCCACCAGAGGGGTTTAAGGGCAGGGAAGAGCTTGGGTGAGACAGCCCTGTGGGCAGGGGGGTGAGCCCCAGGTCCCTCCATCCCCCCATGGCCACCGGCAGAGGGAAGCGGCCAGGGCTGTTTGAGCTCCCACCCAACACAGCCGAGCATCGTCCTGGTCAAGCCCACCATCTCCCCAGCTGCCTGAGTCCCTCCTCTCCCGAGCACTAGCCCTGCCGCAGCTCCACAGCCTCACCGGGCCTGGGGGCTGTGGGCCACGCTGGATCCGTGCCTGCCCCTCTGCTTTGGAGATGACGGAGCACATCCGAGGGCGCAGTGGGATGTGCTGCAAGAAGGCAGCTGGGCACCCACGCCAGGAGCTGCCTGCTCCCACTGGGGTGCGACTGTCCCACCAACCCTCAGCTGCTCCAGTACCAGCTCTGGTGGTGACAAGGACAGCTGTGCCCACATTCCCAGAGGGGACGTCCCCATTGGGGACATGGCCGCTGCCACAGCATCCCCGAGAGAGGTTTTGCAGGGCTGGGGAGCGGGTAGGGAGGGACAGAGTGCTGCAGCCATGGAGGGGCCATTCCTCACCCCCGCTCTGGGTGAGGGACACCCCCTCTGTTACCCCCTGCCTCCAGGGCACAGGGGTGGCCCTGGGGCCAGGCTGGTGGCCACACTGTCCCCTACCCCTCCAGGCAACCCAGGTGCCAACGATGAGGCATGGAGGGGGCAGAGGGTGGGCAAGGGCTTCCTAGGAGGGGGCACCCCAGGAAGGGCAGGGTCCCCTGGCCAGCACCCAGAGGTGACACCAGCCCTGAGTGAACCCCAGCTCTCAGGGGGACCTGGCACCTGGGAGACATGCAAAGGAGCCCCAGGGCACCCTCAGTCTCAACATCCCCCCGGGCTGGGGGCTCCTGGCAGGGTTCCGGTGCTGGGGCTCCCTGTCCTTTCCCGACAGGGAGGTCCTGGGGGGCCAATTGTCTCCCCAGCTGCAGAGCTCCCCCCGACGGGGCTGTGCTCCAGAGGCTCTCCCATCGCCCCGGGAGCTCTCCTGTCACCCCAGGGGGTTCTCCCATCGCCCCGGGAGCTCTCCTGTCACC